TAAATAGTCATTTTATTAATTTTCTAATATTTAGGATTTTAAAATTAACTAAACTTTAATTTTTATAGTAAGAAATCCCAATATTTAATACAATAAAATCAACTGAAATTTTCCTTTTATAATTCAAAATCCTAATTTTTAGGACCAAATATAGAACTAATTTTGACATTGAAATACGTTTTAGGAATTCAAATTTCAAAGTTTTAGTGTCTCGCCACTAAGCATTAAATTGGGATTCAAGACGTTAAAGGCAAAAAATGACGAACTATTACCACTTTTTAATTTGAAGAAAAGAACTACTATTATTAATTCTTCTTTTTATTTTCTAAGTACTATTGATATTCTAAAAGTCAAGCTAGATGAGAAATTAGAGTTAAAATAAGCCAAATATAATTAAGATAAGGGAATTAATTTCTACTCCCTCAATATTAAGTTATTTATCGTAATTTCTAAAAATAGATGTTTCAAATTATTTGTCATTTTAGAAGTAATTATTTCAAATTATTTTTTTGTTATATTTTTAGTAGTAATTGTTCTTGAAAATGGAGATGAGACATAAATAAAGTAAATATTCAATAAAGAGATATTATATTTATAACATAATAAAGGTTAAATAGTTAAAAATTCCTTCGAAATAATATTTTCTTTAGGTGTTTGTAATAGAGAAATACGACAAATAGTTTGAGACAGAGGAAGTATTTATTAGTAATCAAGAGCATTTAAATAGGCCAAAAAATATGAAATTATTAGCTATATGAAATATTTATTTTAACAACAAGAACGTACTCCAGTCAAACAAATAATTGATCAATGTCAGAAATCACATCAATTGGTAAATGAAATAATTACCGTTACAGATGTTAGTATTGAAGTTGCACTAATCAATAAACTCGTGAGTTTACTAGCAAAATTAACTAAGTTCTGGTTTGTGGAATTATATTTTCTAAAAGCTGAAGACAGTAAATTTTATTGATATTTGACATAAAAGAAAAAGATAGAAAAAAATTATAACTCAAAAAGTTAAAATCATGTATCAAAATTATTAAAATCGAACTCACAAAGTTAAAATCATGTATCAAAATTATTCAAAGTCGCAAATCAAAAACTATATTTTTTAAATATAAAAGGACTAAAAACAAATAACATTAGAGCTTTATTTAATTTTAACTACTATGTAATGTCCACAACAACAAAAATGTACACGGATGCATCTATGGATGCATCTATCTGTCTATCTTATTTTAATAAGAAAAATGTATTATGTAAATTAAAATAGAGGAAGTAATATTTATATATTTTTTAAAATTTAACATTCATTGATATAAGTACACGCGCAAAGCGCGTACCCTAGATCTAGTAGTTATTAAAAGGTTAAAAATGTAATTTATCAATTATTAGGTGTGGATGAGCTATTTTACTAAGAAGATAGGCCAAAATGGCTAAAAGTGCAAAAAGTGGCCGTTGCCCAACAGTCATTTTTGATTTTGACCATTGACAACTTTCAGAATTTAAAAAAAAAAAATTTACAACTTAAACCGGGCTGAAAACACGGTTAAAACTCTTGAACAGATTAGCGAGCTAGCAGGGTTCCGGTACATCAGTAGGAAAAAAGTAGGGGTGGCAATTTGAGCCCAAACCCATCTAATCCGCCCAACCCGCCCAGAGACTAATGAGTTGGGTTACAAACATTTTAGCTCACGGGTCAATTTGGGTTGAGCCCAAGTAAACCCATTATATTTTATAGTTCATTCTGACCCATTAAACAGCTCAAATACAACCCATGAAACTCACCCAAAATAAAAAGATATCTCAATCCAACTGTATATAAAAATTTATNCTGGGTTGGGCAATGACCCATTTATTGACCTAACCCATCTTGACCCGCCCAAATTTAGCCCAACTCGCCCATTTGCCACCCCTAGAAAAAAGGCGCAACCTTGTCCGACAGAACCCCCTACCCTAGCCAACTTGTCCCCCTCCCCTGCCTTACCGAACCGGGCCAACCCGGACTGAATTGGGTCGAATCGGATTGTTAGTGGGCTAGCCCGGCCCGATTAACACCTTTAGGGCTGGGGCTGGGGCTGCGTGGGGTAGGCCGGTAGGACCTGTGTTTTAGGTTGTACTTGGGGTCATAAAAGATTTTAAATAAAAATATTACAGTAAGTAGTAGTAATAAGTACTAACGTAAGCGAGTGTGCGTGGTTTCTTGATTGGACGGACGGTGGGTGAGTGGTACGGATCCTTTGCATTCCCATTGTCCATATTCATGCCGTATTCCTAATTCCTAATAATAACTATTCCAGTATAAACAGTATTCAAAGTTCCAACGAAGTTCATAATTAACCAGCAGCTACTCATCTAAACATGGAAATCAGTCGCAGTAATGATAGTGTCACACTGGACGACAGTTTTAGGACGGAGTTGCTGTCTCCCGCTGCTCAGGCGGTGGTTGATCATTCCATGACTTTGGGGCCGACGTGGAAGCTCAACACAACTGACTTCCATCTTCCCCAACGCCGCTCCTCTGATCATCAATCTTTCAGTTTCCTCCGTCTCCTACGAGTTTTCAGTAATTCCTCAGCTCATGCCATTAGCATTTACTTTTCAAGTACTCCTGTTTATTTTACATGACATGTTGGATTTTTTTTTTTTTTTTAAAAAAGGAAAACTTTTTGCATATATTATTCTAGTGCCTATATTCCATGTTAATCTATTATTTTTTGGGGAGTCAAATAATATTTTTTTTAACCACATTTTTTACAAATACTTTTTAAATATTTTGGAAAATTAACTATGGTAATTTATAGTAGTAGTTTTGATGTAATTTCTAAATATGTAAATTTAATTTCAAAAAGATTTAAAATTTTATGTGCAAATTCATACTAAATATTAATTATTTTGATCCTAACTATTTTCTCCGGTCCACTTTAAGTGATTTTTTTGGCCTTTTTTGTGGTCTACAATATCTGATTGTTTCATATATTAAGAATGAATTAACTTCTTCTTTCCAAAGTTGTCTTTGGAGTAAAGAATCTAGGAGTAGTTTGTTATATTTCTAATGAACAAATTAAGGTTAAAATGATTAATTTTATTGTTAATTAATTCTAAAAGGTGAATTTTTTAATATGTGTGAAAAGAGTAAAAAAAAATACTTAAAGTGAACCGGAGGAAGTACTATTAAGAACTTGCCATTAATTGAAAATTTAAAGCTAAAGAGTTACCGTATACAAAGATGTATCCTTTTAGACCATCTCCGACTCTAACATCAAATTTCACACCAAATTTACTCCAACCATTACACCATTTTTTACACTAAAAAGAATATTTCTTCTCTCTCTTCTATATTATATTATTATCTTCTATTTAAATTTTATTTTTTATTTCCTTCAAACAAATTCTATCTTTTTTTTTTCCATATTCATCATATATAATTCACATTCACCACTTATATAATTTTTTTTCCATATTCACCATATATAATTCTATCTTTAGCAACATTAGATATCTTACATTTGCATTTTTTATTTTTAAATAATGGTTATGTTTCTTTTTATACAATTATAATAATAATAAAATTAACTTATAATTTTATATAAATATAATATATACAAAAATTAAAATATCAAAAAAATAGGGTATAAAATTAAAATTATAAATATCTTAATATAAAAATTAATTATATACACAATATATGATAAATTAAAAGTTCAAAAAAATAAAAAAAATAAAAAAGATGAATAAAATAATAATAAATCAAATTTGGTGTTGATGAATAGTGTCGCACCACACTATTTACGCACTATAATGGTGCAAGATTTGGTGTTCCATTGGAGCAAAAAAAAAAATACCAAATTTAAATTTTGTGCAAAAAATAGTGCACCTTTGAAGATACCCTTACACTTAAATGTTTGTTATTTTTCTTTAGGATATCTGAAGCCTTTGAAACTCGATCAGTTTCCCTTTGACCCTTTAATTTGTAACCTTAGAGTATTCTAGTGTTATTATTATAATATCTAACAACTCTTTCTGATCATGACTATTACCTAACTTATTGATTGTTAATACTATCGTCTTTCAAGTGGTTCATTAGCATTACCAAAACAAAAAAAATGGTTCTTTAGTTTCTGAATATAGAATATTGGAGTTTGATATTTTCTGGGAGTTGAAGGCTGAAGGGTGAAATTACAATCTTGTTTCTAATAGTACTTTACTTAAAGTTTCAATTCTTGTCTGTAGCAGAATATTATTTTGTTAATTTTCCTTCTTCCACTCTAGCAATTTTAATTGGTTTAAGAGGGGAAATGGTCAAATATTAGCGCCTTATTATTTATTTACATCTTCCAACTAATGGAAGAGGAAAACGGGTAGATGGTTTTATTCAAATCCTTTACTATCTTTAATTATGTGGGACAAGCACAGAGTTACGATTTTGAATCACTGAAAAGAGAATTGCTTGGCAAAGAAGAATTTTGAAAAGTTGTATCTAAAAATTTAGTAAATACAAAATCATAAAAATTTAAATACTCCGAGTCTCCAAGAACAGTTGTGCGGGATGCACAGGATCATGTAACATATTCTGAAGCTTGTATTGCTGATTTTTCATACTAAGGTGTCGTTTGGTAGAGATATTAAAATAAAAATAAAAATAATGCAAGCATTAGCTTAATTTGTGCATTACTAATCCCTGGTTTGGTACATTTTTTCAACATATGTGTATTAGTTATACCTCCGATTTGGTATTATCCAATGTATAACTAAAACATAACAAACTATGGTATTAACAATGCAAGAGTTTTTAATACTTGTATAAACATGGTTAAAGACATAACTGCCCCTCAAATCCCTCAAAACCTATTCCAAATATTTTTCGCCATATTTTTGTGGAGGGTATATTTGTAAACAATCAATTTTTTAAGAAATTATGCAATGCCTTAATATACCAAACTAAACAGTGGATAAGAAATAATCTCAATATAATTAATGATAGTATAACTAGTCTCAACATTATTAATACCATCGTTACTGATACACCTTATTCAACATTATTTTTAAACCTCCTACCAAGCGACCCCTAAGAATGTTTTATTTGAAGTAACTTCAAATCATATACTTGACCTCATTCTTGTAAAAAAAATTTGTTTGTTGAGAAGGTAAACTTGTTAAAGAAATTAGTCACATTTCTTCCCTTTTGCATATAAAACTACGGATATCAAAGAGTTTTTGGTGTTTTATTTTGTTCAAGGTTATTAGTCCTGTTTGATTTTGCTCTACAACTCTACAGTTTTCTTTCATATTTACTCTCTTAAAATTTAAGAAGGCGCCGGTAATTTAACTACCAGGTTGAGGACTACCTAGCAGCCCGCGGATGGATAGGGTGGGGGAAGCGCGAAGGGGATGGATGTCTGAGCGGTTGAAAGAGTCAGTCTTGAAAATCAAAGTATTTATAGAATACCGGGGGTTCAAATCCCTCTCCATCCGCGAGATCATAAGTTGGTCTCTTGAGTTATATATAGATAAGAAGATATTGGGTCGACTGGACTGATATGATAGATGGAATGGTAGACTGAAGTTGTTACTTATTTTCAGTTAAGGAACAAAAATTCACTTGATACTCTGTAAGGGTGATATGCAAAGCAGGCAACAAAATCCATCTTTGTTGGACCAAAATATGCTCTTAATTACTTGTAAATGTTCCCTGACCAAATGCTTTGATTGCTGAAGCTAATAGTTTAAAAACTTATCTTTCTTGGACTGAAATAGGCTCTCTTATTTGGAATGGACATATTCAAGAATATAAGTTATCATACCCTTAGGAATGATATACTAAGTAGGTGATTTCAGATAATCAGATTCATTGTTTCAGATAATTAAACTTTCCATTTCCGTCTTCACTTTCTTGATCACTTGATGGAATCGTGTTAATCATGTATAGGGAATCAGAGAAAAGTTGCTGAATACTACAAAAAACAAGAAAGGCTGCTTGAAGGATTCAATGAGATGGACACAATTAATGAATGTGGTTACTTACCTGGAAATCTAACTGAGGTTGGTCTATGAGATTGGCAGATTCTTATCAGTTTAATCATCACAATTTTTTAGTCGTCAAAATAACTTTCTTTTCTTTGTTGCACTGTCAACCAATATATACAATCACCTTTAGTGAAATTCGTGTGTTTGTGGATCAACTTGTGTTTATCTTCTATTGTTGTTCATAAAGCTATAATTTGCAATTTCAAATCTCAGATGTTGTTTTTCAGGATGAATTGAAGCAACATGCTAAGAGCGAAAGGATGGCTATTCTTGTGTCAAACATAGCAAATATGGCTCTTTTCATTGCTAAAATCTATGCTTCTATTGACAGCAGATCACTGGCTGTAATTGCGTCTACCTTAGACTCCCTATTAGACCTCTTAGCTGGATTTATTCTGTGGTTCACTTCTCATGCAATGAAAACGCCAAACCAATACTGTTATCCAATTGGAAAGAAGAGAATGCAGCCAGTGGTGAGTCTTCTACTGTTTTAATTTCTTCCAACGAACACCCTTGTTTCAGGGTATTTCTCCGAAATTAAAGTAAAAAGAAGAAAAAAAACATATCCCTTCAGCTCCCAAGAAAGAAAAAGAAAAGATGTCTTCGCCAATTTCTGTTTATTGTTTGAACTGATCTGCTGCAATATTTTCAGGGTATAGTTGTTTTTGCATCCGTAATGGCGACCCTGGGATTACAAATATTGTTCGAGTCTGGTAAAGAACTCATAACTAAGGTATGTAACTTGGTTCTCTTCAAGTGTGTTGTGAGATGGATGTGTCATGTGTGAGCTGGTACAAGGTTGAATTTCCAAATACATGTATTTTGTAAAATTAATGTCGAATTGATAAAGAACTTCCCCAGAAAGTGCATTTTGGCAGCAAAATATAAAATATCTTAGAAGGTTCTGATACCATGTTAAGCAAAATAAATTTTGGACCTAATTCAACACAACAGTTCACTCATGAGATGAGGATTTTTCGAGGTCATATAAAGCGATTAGAGCTCAACCTGTGTGGGATGCTAAAAATATTCATAATTCTTCTTCCCCTAAAAGTCAGTAGCCTGGAGTTCTCTCTAGGTTTTTGTACTTCTACAATTGATTTTAAATTATTTACAGAGTTGAAATGGTAGTACTTTGTCCCAAGTAATTCATTCTTCACATTGATGGACATTTATATTGTTGAAAACTAGCACTAGCTTTTATGTTAAATGAGATAGATTTTATGTACGATGTGAGTGCTTTAGGAAAAGTAGTTGATCTTAAGGATCAAAAGGAAAGACCAAAATTAGAAGCTGAATTGCTGCTAAAAGGAATTTGCAGTAGCATGTACAAGTTAGGCCCTCTAATCTATGTATAATGGTAAACTAGCTGTTTGTGCTCTAATTGAAATCGACTAGTCTTGATACGAGGATGCAACATAGATTAATAAGGACTATTCCTACACAATACATTTTGTATTGAAGGACTGAACTCTAATTTGCCGGAATTTCATTTTGTAATATGCCTGACACTTAACCTCAATTTGTTTTTCTGGTTCCATGCTTAATGATTTGTTTTTCTGGTTCTATGCTTAATGATTAGTCTCGTCCTGATATGGACCCTGAGAAGGAAAAATGGATGATCGGAATTATGGTTTCTGTCACTGTGGTCAAGTTTATGCTTCTGATCTACTGCCGAAGATTCAAAAATGAAATTGTAAGGGCCTATGCTCAAGACCATTTCTTTGATGTCATTACCAACTCAATCGGGTTAGCGGCAGCAGTCTTAGCCATCCATTTCTATTGGTGGATTGATCCTACTGGAGCTATAATTGTGAGTTTAGAATTACAACACACGAACTCTTTAATCTATATACCTTGTCTGTTATCGCAATTGAGATATTTTTGCATTCCTATGGACAACTGATCATCCTTTGTTATGTGTTTCAGATAGCACTTTACACAATGAGCACATGGGCAAAGACAGTGATGGAAAATGTGTGGTCACTTATTGGAAGAACAGCTCCACCCGAATTTCTAGCAAAGTTAACATATCTTATATGGAATCACCATGAAAGGATCAAACACATTGATACTGTTAGAGCATATAATTTTGGCATACAATATTTTGTGGAGGTTGATATAGTGCTGCCGGAGGACATGTTCCTGAACCAGGCACATAATATTGGTGAAACGCTGCAGGAAAAATTGGAGCAACTTGTTGAAGTTGAGCGTGCTTTCGTCCATGTAGATTTTGACATAACTCATAGGCTGGAACATAAGTCTATGATCAAATGACGTCAAATTGACATATAATTTTTAGAATGACGGCCGCTTAATTCCTGTTTAATTATACCATTGTATTTCCTATTTGTTACTCTCTATATTGGATCAGATGAGCTTTATCATCCGTCCCAGCTGAGAGCTTTATCGTCCTTTGGTGTGTCCCTCACCTCTCTCTTTTGAGGCCTGTTTCCTCTACTGTCACTTCTTTATTTCCTCTACTGTCACTTCTTTATTTTTTCATCACTGAAGTAGTTCTATGTTTCTTTTTCAGTCTAATCTTTAGTACATTAAGTCTGAATATGTTGTTGATGAATACTTAGGGATAATATTGCATAGGGTAAAATTGGTTCATAATAAATAGTCGAATAATAGCATAACACGTGGAACCAAAAACAGGTAAGAGACGAATCAAGTAACAACCGGTACCGGGAAAAACAATTCTAATTGACATGGGGTAAACCCCGAAGGGAGCGTGGTTAGCGGGAGCAGATCGAGTATTTGCCACCGGATGACATTCAATGAAGAATATTCTCTAACATTAAATTGGCAACTATTGCAGAGAATATTTGCATTCATGACCTGCTGTTACATATTCATCAATGACTCCTTTATTTTCATTTAAGTGGGGCTTTATCCTAGGGTCTTGTTTCCTTAGGTATACGTTCTTGGGAAAAACATATGTTATATTCCATTTTTGCTCTCAATTAAACAACTTTATTTGCTCTTTTACATTAATTTCATTTTTGTTCTCGGAGATATTGTGCTCGGAGTCAGGCTTGTCATCTCCTTCAATTTCAACTGCTAAGTCTTATTTTTAATCTTATTTCATTATCATTTTTGTATCAATCAGTTTGCCTGTCTATAAACCACGTAACTAATTTAACTGTACCATTCTACGGGTAAACAGCTTGGCACACTCCGTGAGGTTTAGACAGTTGCGTAATTGCTTTGATCCTCACGTTTGTTACTAACTTGTTTGATTTTTTCCTTAGCAAGAAATCAATAATGGCAGCTAATGATGTCAACATCACACACAACGTTAAGTGACACGAAGATTTGCCTCAACATGAGGATTCGATCAGCGACACTCGTAACGAAGAGGGCGAAGCAACCCTGGTTTGTTAAGGGCAGTACCCTCGGCATGTGAGGGAGCCAACCCCTGACAATGCGGAGGAGAAACATGTCGTGGAAATGGTGAAAATCTTGAGGGAGCAGTAGAAAGCCATCATGAGCCACCTATCAAGGCAGGATAGGGTAATGACGGAGTTGAAACAAGTGTTGTTAGATGCTTCCAATAATGCAAACGGAAGGGGCCCGACTCTTCCCAGAGTTCCTGCAAATCAAACGACTCAAAGAGTTGATAACAACACCCAAGGGAGGAGGCCAGGTTCGATGGTGTTGGAGGAACCGATAGCGGATACGAGAATGATAATTGGAATGGCCCTTTCAAAACCAAGCTCATGAGGTTTATGAGGGAAATGAACGAACAGATGGATCAAAACGCGAAGGAGTTTCAAGCCCGAATGGATCAGATTCCAGGCGTTCCACCAGTTTTGAAAGGCCTATATTCGAAGAAATACACGCAATTGCCATTTAAGCCGAGCACAATGCCAGATTTAATTTCGAAGAGGTTCAAGATGCCAGACATACCAAAATATGATGGGACTTTGGATCTGCAGGAGCACATCACAACCTACACCATGACTGTGAAAGGGAATGATTTGGCTCAACATGAGATCGAATCGATCTTGTTAAAGAAGTTTGGTGAAACCCTCACAAAGGGGCCATGACATAGTATTCATTCTTACCCGAGCATTCAACTGACTCTTTTGAAATGCTTGCAGATTTCCGTTAAGGCCCATGCCAGGGCTAGGAAGGTCCAAGCCAGGAAGACGAACGTATTTAGGACCGCGTAAGGTGAGTGTGAATTATTGCGAGAATTCATGATCAGATTCTAGAAAGAGATACTGGTTGTACCTGACGAGTGGGCAGCGGAGGCATTCACAAAGGATTTGAATCCGAGGAGCTCCGACGCCTCCCGAAAGCTGAAGGAAAGCCTGCTCGAATTCCAAGCAACTACAAGGGACAGATGTTCATAACTATTATAAGTCAATAATAAGGATATAAGATGATCAATTCGGGTTCCCGACATCAACTAGAGGACGGGACCGAGACAATAACCATGATAAGTTCAAAAGCAATTTTGATGCGGATCGAAAATCTTCTAAAGTTCGTTTCTTGCCTTACGAGAGAGCTGAGGGATGCGGCAGCAAAGGGTTCCAGTCCTCGGATAGGTTCACTCCCAATAAAAGGATCGACTGCAGCCGGAGCAACAGATCGTTACAAGAAAAAAAAGTATCGGGGTCCCGGGATGTTTTACATATCCCAGGTTGTCGGATTATAATTTCAACATTAGCGTAGTGGAGTTGGTATCGACGATGAGGAATATCAAAGAAGCATGATTCCCAAAGGCAATCAGATCCGATCCAAACGAGAGGGATCCTAACTTATGGTACGAATATCATGAGACTCATGGCCATAGAAATGTGGATTGTCTGCATCTGCGTGAAGAGGTGGTGATGTTGTTGAAGAATGGCCATCTCAAGGAGTTCTTGAGCGACTGAGCCAAGAAAAATTATGGCCATAGCCGAGACAATGGACTTCTTATACCAATAGAGGAAGACGCCAACAAACTTCTTCTGCCACATAATGACGCTCTGGACGCTTTGGTAATTTATCTCAATGTCTTAGATTTTAAAATTAAGAGTGTTTTGGTTGACCCAGGAAGATCAACCAACATTATTCAATAGAGAGTTCTGGAACAAGCAAAGTTGTCCAGAAGCATCATTTCGGTGACAAAGCTCCTAGCTGGGTTCAACTTGACAAGCGTGACAACCCGATGAAAGATCCTGCTGCCCACGAACGCTAAAGGATAACCAAGACCACCTTATTCGAAGTGGTAGACAACGACATGTGCTACAACGTAATTCTCGGAAGGCCACAAATACATGAGATGAAGGCTGTGCCCTCAATATATCATCAACTGATAAAATTCCCACCCCGGAATAAATCAAGTAGATAAGAGGAGATCAGCCAGCAGCAAGAGAGATGAACACAATGTCGATTTCCAGCAGCAAGGGGAAGGATCCCAACAAAAAGCAACTACAGGACCCGATTCCTTTTCCCTTGCCAAATAAAGATGATAAAGGTGAGGAGTCAACGGAATCCCACCAGTTGGCGAGATACTTTGAGGTGCCGGAGGAGACGGATGCAACCAAGTCCATTGCAGAAGAACTCGAGCAAGTGGCTTTATTCGAAGAGTTCTTGGAAAGGAAGTTTCACTTGGGAACATGACTCAATCCCAAACTCAGGTAAGGATATATTAATTTCCTTTAAGCTAACATCGATCATCTTGCATGGTCGCACTCGGATATGACAGGTATCCCATTAGAGGTGGCCGTGAACAAGCTAAGCCTGGATTCGAACTTCCCATCGGTAAGGCAAAAAAATGACCAATAGCCGAGGTCAGAAACAAGTTAAAGAAGAGGTAACTCAACTACTTGACATTTGTTCAATCCGGGAGGTAAAATATCCAGAATGGTTAGCTAACATAGTTGTAGCTCCAAAGAAGAATAACAAGTTTAGAATGTGAGTAGATTATAAGGACTTAAATAAGGCATGACCTAAAGACTCATTCCCATTGCCAACATTGATTAGATGATTGATGCAACGACCGAAAACTACTTAATGAGTTTCCTTGATGCCTACTCCGGGTTCAATCAAATCAAGATGAACCCGGAGGATCAAGAAAAAACTTCATTCATAACAAACTTTGGCACATATTGTTATAATGTGATGCCATTTGGGCTTAAGAACGCCATATCCACTTATCAGAGGCTCGTGAACAAAATGTTCAAAAATCGAATAGGCAAAACAATGGAAGTATACATTGACGACATGTTAGTCAAGTGTTTGCATGCAGGAGATCACTTGAAACACCTCCAAGAAACCTTTGATATCTTGAGGAAGCATAACATGAAACTCAACCTCAAAAAATGTGCGTTCGAGGCTGGTTCAAAAAAATTCTTGGGGTTCCTGGTCTCGCAAAGAGGGATCGAGCTAAATCTTGATAAAATCAAAGCTATCAAGTACATTTCAGATCAATTGGAAAATGTAAAGGAGGTACAAAGATTAACCGGAAGGTTAGCAGCCTTAAGCAGGTTTATCTCAAGATCTTCTGAGAAGTGCCATCATTTCTTTTCACTTTTGAAAAAGAAGAACTATTTTGAAAGGACTATGGAATTCTAGCAGGCCTTGAAAGACTTAAAACAGTACCTATCACGCCCCCATTACTGTCAAAATTGGGGGAAGGCGAACAATTGCTAATATATCTAGCGGTCTCGGAAGTAGCGGTAAGTGCTGTTTTAGTTCGAAAAGAAGAAGATACACAATTTCCTGTCTATTATGTTAGTAAAATATTGTTGGGAGCGGAGACTCGCTATCCGTACCTCGAAAAGCTGGCCTTAGCTCTTGTAGTTGCCTCTCGAAAGCTTAGGCCTTATTTCCAATGCCACCCGATAGTCATTGTGACAACCTATCCCTTGAGAAATGTTCTTCACCAGCTTGAGATGTCAGGCCGATTGGCTAAATGGGCAGTCAAAATCAGCAAATTTGATATCGAGTACAAGCCCAGTATTGCGATCAAGTCATAAGTTTTGGCTGACTTTATGGCCGATTTTAGTCCCAGATTAATGCCCTTGGATGATAAAGAAATAGTGTTGGTGTCAGAAACGACATTGGGAGTTTGGACCTTGTTTATGGATGGAGTTTCCAATGTAAAAGGGTCCTGGCTAGAGGTAGTTCTAGTCACGTCCTCGGGAGAAACCCTGAGGCCGGCCATTAAGACTGTTCTATTAACTAATAATGAAGCTGAGTATGAGGCTTTGGTTGCAGGAATTGAACTAGCCCAGGGACTTGGTTTCGAGGTCATCGAGTTCAAATGTAATTCCCAGCTGGTAGTAAACTAAGTGTACGTGATTTTTGATACAAAGGAAGAACACATGGAATCGTATGTGAACAAGGTTCAGGCATTGCTTGCACGATTCAGGGAATGGTCGATCATAC